AACAAAGCAAAAGAAAAGCAAAAGTGGTAGGTGTTGGTGGTTCACGCCTGTAATTGTAGGAGGCTGAGATCTAAGGATCTGAGGATCTGAGGATCACGGTTCAAAGCCAGCCTGGACAGGAAAGTCTGTGGGACTCTTATATCCAATTAAACACCAGAAAAAAGGAAGTGGTGCTGTGGCTCAAGTGGTAGAGTGCTGGCCTTGAGCTGAGTTGCTGAGGGACAGTGCTCAGGCCCAGAGTTCAACCCTCACAACCAACAAAAATAAATGAAAGAAAGAAAGAAAGGAAGGAAGGAAGGAAGGAAAGAAGGAAGGAAGGAAGAAAAGAAAGAAAGAAAGAAAGAATGAAGAGCAAAAGTGCATCGTTTAGGCAGGTGGGCAGGATCAAGAAGAAGTGCTACACAGAATCCCAGGACCTCAAGTTTTTTTTGGGGTCTGTGGACATAGGAGGAGTCGGTCTGAAATACTGGATAAACATGTCACAAATTTCCAGACACTATTTATCAAATATTCACACATGGAGGGCAATGAAATTCTTGGCCTCATATGGTCAAACCAAGGTGGCCATTTTCCACGGTGGGAGGCTGCAATACCCTGCTATATGTCACTAGCTATTCTGTTAACATCAGCAACTCAGTATGTAATTTCTTGCCCATATCCAAGTCATTATTCTCAGCCATTTAAGTTTCTTAACTCTTTGCCTAACTCCTATATCAAGATGTAACTGCAGTTTCTCCAGCACTCCAAATTCAGCCGAATCCGAGCGTCTCTGAACTGTTCCCAACTTTTTTTTGGTGGTTGTGGGACTTGAAATCAGGGTCCGGACGCTGCCCCTCAGCTCTTCAGCTCAAGGCTAGTGCTCTTACCACTTGAGTCCTAGGACCACTTCTGGCTTTTTTCTGTTTATGTGGTGCTGAGGAATTGACCCCAGGGCCCCATGCACGCGAGGCAAACACTCGACCACTGAGCCACCTTCCCAGCCCACTGTTCCCAACTTCTGAAGATGGAGCAGCACAGGCAGGAGGTGGTGGCTTTCCAGTGTGAGAAAGAGAATAGATGACACCAGCTAAAGTCCCTGAGGGTTCATTGATAAAGCTAATGTCCCTCTCAGATACTGGTGGAGTTCAGGAGAGTGAACTTCAAAGCAAGCTTTAGGATAGCACTGCTGGGTTTGAGAGAGGCACATCCTGCAAAAGCCTTTAATAACTCAAGTGTAAATATCCACTGGGGGAAAATTGAGAATAAGATGTGTCAACCCAGAAAAATTTTCTTCAGGAAGGTAGAAAAAGAGGCAAGGAGTTTTCTTCTTTTTTTATGTCAGTTGTGGGGTTTGAACTCAGAGTCTGGGCCCTGTCCCTGAGTGCTTTTGCTCAAGTTTAATGCTCTACCACTTTGAGTCATAGCTCTGGTTTTTCAGTGGTTTTGGAGATAAGAGTCTCACCAGGACTTTTCTGCCCAAGTTGGCTTTGAACTGTTATCCTCAGATCTCAGCCTCCTGAGTAGCTAGGATTATGGGTATGAGGCACTGGTGTTCAGCTTTTGATCTTCTTTTAAACAATATTTTAATTGTTATTATGAAGGTGATGTACAAAGGGTCTGCAGTTACATAAGTCAGGTAAAGAGTACATTTCTTTTTGGAAACAAGAGTTTGGTGTGTGTGTGTGTACATTTCTTTTTGGAAACAAGAGTTTGGTGTGTGTGTGTATGTGTGTGTGTGTGTGTGTACATTTCTTTTTGGAAACAAGAGTTTGGTGTGTGTGTGTGTGTGTGTGTGTGTGTGTGTGTGTGTGTGTTTGCCAGTCCTGGGGCTTGAACCATGATCTTCAGATCTCAGCCTCCTGAGTTGCTAGGATCATAGGCTTGAGCTACCACTAGTGCCTGGCAAGAGGTATTTTCTTCGTTGCTGTTAGAACTTTATTCTTGAATAAACATTGTCAGACTATGATGTGCCTCACAAGTAATCTGCTAATGAGGCTACAGAGATTGCAAAAGGCTTACTTTTTTTTAGCCAATCACATGCAATCCATTATATATGTGTTTTCAAGATAAAACTTGATGTCTTGACAGCAGGTTAACTTTGATTAACTTGCTTAATATTCTTTCAGAGTTCATTGTAGGTTCTCTCAGCAATTAGTCACTTGGATTATTTAATTGCCATTATCTGAAGGACAACAAACTTTTCCTATCATAAGAAGGAACAGTCTGGGGCAAAGCCTCTGTAGATTTGTTCAAGGACAAACAGGTGATTAGGAGATGAGAGCACTATCTTCCTTGATTATATTTCAGAAGACTGTTTTGTAAACTGATGAGAGGCTCACTTGGCTCTGTGTGTGTGTGTGTGTGTGTGTACATGCATGCTAGTACTGGAGGCTTGAACTCAGGACCTGTGTGCTGTGCTGAATCTTAGCTTTTTCACTCAGGCTGGTGCTCTACTACTTATATGTACATATCTACTTCTGTTAATTGGAGAGAAGAATCTCTTGGGCTTTCCTGCCTAGGCTGGCTTTGAACCGTGATCCTCAGATGTCAGCCTCCTGATTAGCTAGCATTCTAGTTGTGAGCCACCAGCACTGTCTCACTTGGCTTTTAAAATATTTATTTACTTTTCAAAGTAAGGAGAAAGGATTTAGATATTTGTTTTCTCAAATAAAATGCTCTAAGGAAGGTTGTGAGGAGACTCTCCCCTCTGTCAATAGGGAAAGTTTAGTCTTTTTGTCATCCATTTCTCTTGGGTTAAGAGAGATGATAGATGGAAGAATTTAACAACAAAGAGAATAAATAGTCAATAAAGAGGAGACAGTATCAGATTTGGGAGAGTAAATTGGGGGATTCAGGAAACCAGAGAGGGGGGAGCTATATTGGTAACTACTTAAAGTTTTTTTTTTTTTTCCAACCAGATAGCAAAAACCTGGGATCAGGAAGAAATACTCACCAGGCAAGGGATTCCTGAAAGACAGAGAAACCTCCCACTCGCTTGGATGGTATTCTCCTATTTTATCTTCTACAGTGGGAAAATGGGAGCCATGTGTCCTCTCAGTATATAGCTCTCAGGATGGATAGGATGCAACCTGGTAGTGGAATTAAGTAAAACATACACATGTGGCCTTCGAGCCAACAGCAACTGCTTACTAGTGGCATGAAGCCACTTCACAAAAAGATTTGAACAGCTCTATCAGTGGAGAAGCTAAGACCTAACTCAGGCTGCCTCAAAGAAAAAGAAATAGCCAATGAGTCTTCTCTATTTTATTTATTTATTTAAACATTTTGTTGTACTGATGATTGAATTCAGGGCTAAGCAGGTGCTGTACCAATTGAGCTACATCCAGAAACCCTGTTTTGCTATAGTTACTTTTCTTATAGAGTCTCATGATTTTTGCCTAGGGCTGGCTTCAGAATGTGGCCCTTCTGTTGACATTACTTTAGGTATGAGCCACCATGCCAGCTTGTTCTGAGATAAGATCTCAACTCACTTTAAAAATATTTATTTATTATTATTATAGAGGTGATGTACAGAGGGGTTACATTTACACGAATCAGGTAATAAGTACATTTCCTTCCGCACAGTGTCATCTGCTCCCTCATTCTCTCCCATTCCCTCCCTCCCTTTTCCACCCTTGAGATCTACACTTCACTTTCATCAGTTCCAGTGATCTCCACTGCTGTGCTTTCTCACTCTCCTGTAGATATACACGTGTCAACTCACTTTTTAGGATAAGGATCTAACGTTGCCTTGGCTGGCCTCAAACCTCCATCCTCCTCTCTTTTGCTTCCCAAGTAGCTGGAACTGCTGGGATTACAGACATGAGCCACAGTGCTATTTTCTCAGAGTATTCTGACCTTTACCCAAGAGGGTTTAGTCATTTAATGAGAACTGACCTTACCTAGAAAGGTCCATATTAACCTTAAAAATATATTCCCTGAGCCTGGAGCTGGTGGCCTAAGCCTATAGTCCTAGCTACTCAGGAGACTGACATTTGAGGATCAGGGTTAGAAGCCAGCCTGAGCGGAAAAGTCCCCACGAGGCTCTTGTCTCCAATTAACCGCCAGTGGAGCTATGGTTCAAAGTGGTAGAGCACTAACCTTGAGCAAAAGAGCTCAGGGACAGCACCTAGGCAAAGAGTTCAAGCCCCACGACTGACCAAAAATAAAGAAAAAGTTCCCTGTAGCCTTATACGCTTATATTCTTGCCATTCAAATACAGCATTGGTGCTTAAAGTCAAACTGTTACAGCATAATTTGCCACCATCTGGCTTTATATTTAATACTTCAATAATTTAGGCTGGTAACTACTCTTGTTATAGGATGGCATTTGTAAAATGCTTCCAAACACCTCTGCTTAACTTGCAGGGCAAATAAAAAGGGCCATTTATTCGGTAGGCAAAGAACACCACCAGCAACTTTCCGCCGGACAAACCCACCTCCGTAATGTACACATACAGACATCTTTGGGACACAGACCTTTCAAGACCTCAAAATCTGCTTTGAAACTGTGCTCCGGACATGGCAGACAAAACCCCGGAACGGTTTTGAAATTAACTTCAGAAGCTACGAGGATCTTCTTCAATCCTTTTTTTCTTTATCCTCGGCCAACCCATCTCCCACCCTTAGAATTCCTCGGTAACCTGTCTGTCCGCCCTTTGGGAGAAGTTACTAATCAAAGCCGGAAAAGGCCAGGATACCAGATTCGCGCAACAATGAGCTATGATTCTCATCCGGAAACCGATGCCTTTAGGAAAGCGGCGGGCTAGCTGGAAAACTCCTCCTCTTTTGGGGATTTCTCTCCAAGTTCTACTGGCACCAGAGCAAGTGCGCACGCGCACAGGCAAACTAGGCGCGCTCTAGTTTTTGCCCACACCGGGGCGGGGCGGGGCACGACCAGGCGTGACGGGGCGTGGCTAGGAAAGCTCTGCCCCGCCCATTCGCCGAGTTTCCTTTTCTTCCCCTCTGACCTCGGAAATAAGGGGGTGTGTTTTTCAGGGCGGAAGTTGCGGTGCATTGTGGGCTCGTCTCGAGCCTCAGAGTTGAGCCTGAATGAAAGTGGCGCGGCGTCTCTGACGTTAACTCGCTTTGGAGCCGGTGGCGTCCGGGTCTCGGCTGGTGTGCGAGGGCTTGGCTCGTTCGTGGCCCGAGGCCACGAGTTGGGGGCCGCCGAGGGAGGCTGCGCGGGGCGGAGACATGGCTCACAACAAGATCCCGCCGCGGTGGCTAAACTGTCCTCGGCGCGGGCAGCCGGTGGCAGGTAACCGGGAGGGGTTCCGCCTGCGCGCCGCCGGCCGGCTCGCTGCTCGGGGCCGGTCCGCGGCGCGGGCTGCCGGGGGCAGCTCACCGGGCGGGAGCTGTGACCGCCGCGCCGGCCGGCTCGCTGCTGAGGGAGGGCGGCTGCTGGGCCCGCGAGCTTCGGGACCGCGGGGTGCTCGGCTGCAGGGGGCCGGGGGGGCGGGGCTGGAACCGAGGCGGGAGGCGATTCAGCCGCTGCTCTCGGTCCGGTGAGGCTGAGGGTTGAGGATGCGGAGGTAAACAGGAACCTAGCCCCCAGGAGCACCGGGGCGAGCGCTTGAAAACCTTGAAGTTTGTGAACCTGTCTGGGTCCCGCCTTCCCCTCAGAAGGAGTCTGGAGATGGAGGTGGGACCAGAGAGGCTGTTCCCTGGAGCGAAAAGGGTCGACACTGACCCCCCCAGGGGCTTGGGAGGATTTTTGTTTTTGCCTTTTTAAATGTTTTGTGTGTGTGTGTGTGTGTGTGTGTGTGTGTGTGGATTTGACACATTTTCTTTCTAAAACATACAATAAACTTATTAAACTGTACAGCTTGATGAATTTCTGACTACGTAGACATCCTGGGGAACATTCATGAAACCATCGTTCTTGTTAACCAAAACGCTCCAGAGTTATCTGAAATAAAAGTTTTATTATTATTATTAGACAGGCTCTCACAGTATAAACCTGGTTGTCATCCAACTTTGTAGCTTAGGCTGGTCTGTAATGTCTCAGCCTTCCGACTGGTAGGATCATAGGCATGTCCATCCTGCTTAGTTATTGAGATTTTACAAATGCTAGCTAGCCTCAAAAGGACAAGGCTTCACAACTACTAGCAGCAAGGCCAGAAAGCAAGGCGGAACTATTTGGGCTGGACTTAGGAAATAAATTTGCAGAGGAATACATGAGTTGCTCATTTTGGCCAGAGTAAGCAGCATTGGATAATACAAAGAAGGGAGAATTTTAGGTTAGGAGGACAATGTTAGGGAAAACAGGGTGGAGGGGGTCAGTCCTTTACGCTGTACATAGGGGAAGTATTGGTTGCTTCTGGATTGGTTGAAGTTAATCTGAAAAGTTATTTTATGGCTGGGAATGTGGCTTAGTGGTACAGGGCTAGCCTTGAACAAAAGAAGCTTAGGGACAGTCTACAAGTTCTGAGTTCAAGCCCCAGGACTGGCCAAAAAAAAGTTATTTTATCAACCAACAATTTAGGATGGAGGAAGATTTCAACATACATTTGGAAAGTTAGAATAGTTTCTGTTGTTCTGGCTACATTGGTTAACTTCCTCTGACTCTTTGTCCATCTTGTCCTTCTAATTAAATTTAGGACATCTCAGAATTTTTCTCTTTACTATCCTTCAGAGTTTTTTTTTTTTTTTTGGTCGGTCATGGGGTTTGAACTCTGGGCTTGGGCACTGTCCCTCAGCTCTTCAGCTCAAGGTGAGCGCTCTACCACTTGAGCTACAGTGCCACTTCTGGTTTTCTGGTGGTTTATTGGAGATAGGACTCTCACGGTCTTTCCTGCCCGGGCTGGCTTTGAACCATGATCCTCAGATCTCAGCCTCCTCAGTAGCTAGGATTACAGGCGTGAGCCACCAGTGCCCAGCTTTTTCCTTCAAAGTTTTCTATTGTCCTTTGGCAGTCGTTTCCTAAGACAACCATTGATCTCCTTTCTGTCACTATGGATCATTTGCATTTTCTAGAATTTTTCTAATAAATGAAAACATGCACTCATTTTAGTTTGGCTTTGCTCTGCATTATTCTTTATGAGACTCAGACTTTTGAATGTATTAGTAGTACATTCCTTTTTATTGCTGAGTAGTTTTCTCACTGTTTTGAACACACCACAATCTGTTTTTTCATTTGTCTGTTGACAGTTATTTGGGTTGTTTCCAGTTTTTGATTATTGCAAAGCTTGGTATGAATATTCATGTACAGTTCTGTATATGTATTTATGCTTTTATTTATCTTGCATAAATTTCTAGGAGAGAAATGGCTATATTAGGAAGTAGATATGTACTTCTTTAACCTTTTTAAGAAACTGCCAAATACTTGACCAAGGTAGTTAATAATTTTATTTTCCCAACACAGTGTATGAGAGTTCCATTTGCTCCAGATCCTCCCCCAAACTTGATATTCTCAGTCATTTTAATTTCAGCACTTGTAATAGATGTGCAGTGATAATCTTCCTGTGGTTTAATATTGAGTATCTTTTCATTTACTTATTGGAAGTTTGTATATCTTCTTTAGTGAAGTATCTGATTTATTTATTTATTTGCTGCTAGTCCTGGGGCTTGAACTCAGCTTGGGCACTGTCCCTGAGCTTCTTTTGCTTAAGCTCTACCACTTGAGCTGTAGCTCCACTTCTGGTTTTTTGAGTAGTTTATTGGAGATGAGTCTCTCAGACTTTCCTGCCCAGGCTAGCTTCCTTCCTTCCTTCCTTCCTTCCTTCCTTCCTTCCTTCCTTCCTTCCTTCCTTCCTTCCTTCCTTCCTTCCTTCCTTCCTTCCTTCCTTCTTTCTCATGGGCTTGAACTCAGGCCTGGGCACTGTCCTTGAGCTTCTTTTGCTCAAGGCTAGCACTCTACCACTTGAGCCACAGCGCCACTTAGGGCATTTTCTGTGTATGTGGTACTAAGGAATTGAACCCAGGGCTTCGTGCATACTACTAGGCAAGCACTCTACCACTAAGCCATATTTCTAGCCCTGAGCTTCTTTTTGATCAAGGCTGATGCTGTACCACTTGGGCCACAAATCGCTTGAGAAATTTTTTTTAGTAGTTTATTGGACATATGAGTCTCGTGGACTTTCTGTCTAGGCTGGCTTTGATCTGTGATCCTCAGATCTTAGCTTCCCGAATAGCTAGGATTACAGGTGTGAGCCACTGACATCTGGCTTGATTATATTTTTTTAAATAGTATTGGTATATTTGAGACCTTAGAAGCTGTGCTCTGAATTATTGTGATTAATGGAGTCACTAAACTTAAAAAAAAAATGGTACTGAGGCTTGAGTTCTACTTGGAACTGCTAGGCAAAGCTGTTTGACATTCTACTGCTGGAGCCATGCCTCCAGCCTATCACTAAACTTATAGGTGTAATCAGTTGTAGAACCTCAAGCTTTCTGACAACCACCTGGATTTCTACTAGTAATCAGTGCTGCTTTGGCCTGTGTTGCTTATTGCAGGTGAAATTAAATATAATTGAATTCATTTTTTTTTTTTTTTTTTAAAGATAGGGTCTTGCTCTATAGACGAGGCTGGCCTTGGAACTCAGGCTCTTCCTGTTTCAACTTCGCAGATTCAGGGATTAATAGGCATGACACTTCAACACTCAGCTCTTACACAATTTTTGATAAGTTCTGTGACTATCCCCTAAAGGTCTGTTTCTCTTAGTCATGGAGGTATTTGTACCACATTGTATATTTTGTTTGTTTTGTACTGGTATTGGGGCTTGAACTCAGGGTTTACACATTGTCTTTGAGCTTTTTTTGCTCCAGGCTGGTGCCCTACCACTTGAGCTACCCTTTCCACATTGAATATTTTGGATGGGGATTTAGTAGTATTTTATTTACAGTAAGATATGCTAGCTATATTCTTGGCAGATATCTAGGGTTAAGGGTTTCTTCATAGTTCCATGAAGAAAATGTCATATAAGGGAAAAGGATTACCATTAGAGAAAGTGCAGTAAACAAAGTCAAAATGACTGGATAGTTATCTGAATGAGAAGAATTTCATAAACATTCTTGCTTGTTTATTTACTTATTTAGGCAGATTTGTTATAATTGCCCAGGCTGGCCTTAAACTTAAAATCCTCTGCCTCAACTTTCAGATATCTGGGATTATGAGCATGTACCATGCTCATGTACCATGTTTTGCTTATTTTTTTCTGATTATAAAAGTAATCATACTTATTTTAAAATTTTTGGATATTTTTCATATTTCAATTGGTTGCTCAAATTTTCTTTTCTATGAATGTTAGGGAACATCTGAGTACTAGGCATTTGTAATTTACCTGAAGTAGAAAGAAGGTGTGCTATTTATTTATAATTTGTCTCCTATTATGTTACTGTAGTCTAGACTTCCAGTGAGAGAGCTCTCTGTGCAATAAAGCCAAACTTTACTGCTGAAGAATTCTTGTTTTTCATCTCTGAATGATTGATTCAGTGAATTTTTGAGGGAAAGGAAAAAACATGCTATTCCCCCCCCCCCCCCCCTTTTTTTTTGTTGGTATTAGAGTTTGAACTCAGCTTGAACTCTGTGCTTGAATGGTAGAGCCTGTACCAAAAAAGAGTCTTTAGCCCTTTTTTGCTTTAGCTATTTTCCATATCATCCATTTTATGCTATGTAGCTGGATTTTGGGTACAAGCCACGATGTCCAGCTTTGGTGGATAGGGGATTTGAGAACTTTTTGCTTGGTCTGTCCTGCAACCATGATCCTCCTGATCTTACTTCCCAAATAACTAGGATTATAGATGGGAGCCACCATACCCACTCCATCTGGTCTTTTTATTTTTTATTTTTGTTTTTGTTGGTCGGTTGTGGGGCTTGAACTTGGGGCCCGGGTTCTGTCCCTGAGCTCTTTTGCTCAAAGCTGGTGCTCTACTATTTTGAGCTACCATGCCACTTGCTTTTTTTTTTTTTTTTTTGCCAGTCCCAGGATTTGAACTCAGGGCCTGGACACTGTCCCTAAGCTTCTTTTGCTCAGGACTAGCAGTCTACTGTTTGAGCTACAGCACTACTTCAGTTTTTTTCTGTTTATGTGGTACTGAGGAATTGAACCCAGAGTTTCATGCATGCTAGGCAAACACTCTACTACCAAGCCACATTTCCAGCTATCTTTTTTTTTTTTTTAAAGAGGGTCTTGATACATAACCCATACTGATCTGGAATACTTGATCTTTTTGCCGCACCTATTATGTATAAAGAAACTATTAGGAACAGTGGGATATAAATATGAGATACAACCTTGTGATAGTGTCTTTGAAGACATCTAGTAAATACTTGAATCATTAAGTCATTGAATTCAGGGAAATTGCTAAATAGCACATAGTCTGGCACTGGTGATCCAGCTCAGTGGCAATGTGCTTGCCTAGTGTTAGGCCCTAGGCTTGATATTCCCAGCATTAGAGGTAGTCAGGGAGAAAGGGAACCTACACAGTCGGCTCCATAGAGCCTATTTTATTTATTTATTTTTTATGCTGTTACTGAGTCTTGAACTTCAGAGCTTTGCATTCTAATCTGGCCTTTTCTGCTCTTGGAACCATGCTTCCAGTCCTCATCAGTACTTCTTGTTAGGAGCAAGTGAATTATGTGAAATATTTTAAACAGTGCCTTGTAAGTAGTAATCATAAAATTAGGTTTTATTAACTGTGGCTTCTGTTGGTTCTTTTTGGTGAAGTAATGGAGTAAGTGAAAAGGGGTAGGATCTGGGTGCAAGTAGCTCATACCTGTAATCCTCAGGAGGTTGAGCTATGAGGATCCAGGTTCAAAACTAGCCTAGGCAGGAAAGCCCATGAGACTCTTTATCTCTAATAAACTACCAGAAAGGTAGTTTATTATTGAGTTGTGACTCAAGTGGTAGAGCACCAGCTTTAAGCACAAAAAGCTCAGGGACTGTCTAGGCTTTATTCAAGCCCCATGACTAGCACAAAAAAAGGTGGTGTGTGTATGTGAGCTTGATACGTTTTTAGGAATGATGAGACACAGATACTATCTTGGAAGATGGTGACAGGTGGATTGCCCTTGGGATTGGTAATTGTGATTTGTGGTGTCTCCATCTTTGGTGCTTTGAGATTTTCACCAACTTGTTCAGTGATTGGATTAAGGCAAATGAGACTAATGGATATCAGCAGGCTAAGGGTATTTACATAGGATTTGATAATAGTGATGAGGTGTGGACTCTAATCTTGAATAAGAAGTGAAGTCTGAGGTTCTGATGTAGACAAGATTGGATCTATGAGGAGACTGGAGAGAAGGCTGAATGTGATGACAGCTTTTGCATCATATTATATACTTATTACAGTTATTGTTTAACTTTCCCTAATAAAAGGTCAAAGCTCTGAGGGCCACATTCCCAGCCTTAATGAATTGTTTTATATATTGGTGAGAGTGTGAGTAGTGAGAGATCTGAGAGTTGACCATTAGATTTAATAATGTGGAGGTTATTGGTGATTTTGAATAGTTAATAGAAACAAAGATCATTTAATGAAATTTAGATTAATGACTGGATAGATGTTTTAGATATTCTTTTAGGCACTATTCCATTGCTTTTAGTATGTTTGAAAACATTAGTTGGTTTAAATAGTGTGTTTTCCAGTCTGAGATAATCAGTTTAAAAAGAGAGAAGATTTTTTTCTTTTGGTCCACTGTAGTTGCTTGGTCTCTTTGCTTTGGGTCGGTGATGTGTCAGAACACCTGGCAGGGAGCACAAGGTGGAGCAAAATCACTGTCTTCATAGTGGCTAGGGACGAGAGAGACAGAAGAGATCAGGGACAAAACATACCTTTAGTAACCTCCCAGTAGCCCATTAAGATGTGAATACATGAGTGTTTTAATTCATTCACAAGGTAAGAGTCCTCATAATCCACATACCTTCTATTTTTTTTTTTTCCAGACCTGGGGCTTGAACTCAGGGCCTGGGCTCTGTCCCTGAGCCTTTCTATGTTCAAGGCTAGTGCTCTACTACTTGAGCCACAGTGCCATTTGAGGCATCTTCTATATATGTGTATTGAGGAATCGAAGCCAGGACTTCATGCATGGCAGGCAAGCACTGTACTACTAAGCCACATTCCCAGTCTCCTACACACTTTCTAAAGGACCCTGTTTACATCAGTGCCTCATTGTGCTGTTAAGCCTTCAACACATTACCTTGTTGGGGAGGGGGTTAAGATCCACACCATAACAAATAGGTATCTAAAAAATTCGATTATATGGTGCTATTCTTTATGCTTGTTCTGTGATTCAGGAAAAAATGGTAAAAAAAAAAAAAGTCAATCTTTCTTGCAGAAATAATCACTGGGAGTATATATGCTCTGATAGTTTTTTAGAGAGCTCTTTTAGTTTGCATCCTATCAATATTGTAGAATAGCCTAGCATGACTTTATCCTGAGATGTAGTTAGGTCCATTAGATGGAGAAACTTCCAGCTTCACGTTAAAAGCTAGGCTTGGTACTGTACTCTTGTAACCCCCACTTGGAAGACAGAGGTCCTGCGTTTCAGGCCAGCCTTGGCCATTTCAAGACCCTGCTGTTACCTTTTTCTTTTTAGTTCCACCTTATTTATTGTGGTAACTAGAGCCTGAACATATTAAACATAGCTAGGTGTGTGGGACAAGGACTCATACATCCCTTTGCTTTATACTATTTTTTCATTTATTTATTTACTCATTTTTTGAGACTGAATCTTGCAGTGTAATCTGAGCTGATCTCAAACTCCTGATCTTCTCTCTGCCTTCTTCTTCTTCTTCTTTTTTTTTTTGTTGGTCATGGGGCATGAACTCTAGGCCTGGATGCTGTCCCTCAGCTCTTCAGCTCAAGACTAGCACTCTACCACTTGAGCCACAGCACCACTTCTGGCTTTTTCTGCTCATGTGGTGCTGAGGAATTGAACCCAGGGCCTCATGAATGCTAGGCAAGCACTCTACCACTGAGCCACCTTCCCAGCCCTCTTCTCTCAGCCTTCTGAGTGTAGGGAATATAAATTTAATTCACTTCAACAATTATTCTTTTCTCTTCCTTCCCCCTTTCCTTCCTTCCCCTGTTCCCCTCTTCCCCCCTTCCCCCCTTCCTTCCTTCCTTCCTTCCCTTTCCTCTCCTTCCTTCCTTCCTTTCTTTCGTTCTTTCTTTTTTTATTTTTTTTAATGTGAAAATACTATACAGAGGAGTTACAATTACATGGGCAAGATAATGAGTACATTTCTTATCAAGCATTGTAGCCTCCTCCTTTGTTTCCCCTTCCCATCCCTTCCCATCCTCCCCCCTGCCCCCCTACCCAATCCTCCCTGCCCCCCCTCTTCCTTCCTTCCTTCCTTCCTTCCTTCCTTCTTTCTTTCTTTCTTTCTTTCTTTTTTCTTATAGTACTGGGATTTGAACTTGGGGTCATTTACTTGCTAGGTATTGATCCTGATTCCATTTGATTTTTGCTCTGGTAATACTTGAGAAAGGGTCTTTTTTTCCCAAGCTGGCCTGGACCTTAATACTTATATTTATGCTGCCTATTGTAGCTGGGATGACAGTTATGTGCCACCACACCCAGGTTTTTCTGTTGAGATTAAGTCTCATGAACTTTTTTTGCCCAGGCTGACCTAGAACCATGAGCCTTCCAATCAAGCCTCACATGTAACTGAGATGACAGCCATTTATCACTATACTCAGCTATTGGTTGAGGTGGGGGAGGGGTGTCTCTTGAACATTTTGCTCATGTTGGCCTCAAACTTCAATGCTCCTGATCTCTGTTTCCCAAGATACTAGGGTTATAGGTACAAGCCATCAGCAATTTGCAAAACCAAGATCCTTTTAATGCGAAGGTTTGTAGTTTATATTATTTAAGGACGTTCCACTCACTGGCAGTTTTCTTTCCTGTTATTATTGTCAGTTTCTACAATTTATTTTGTTTCTAAAAGTTTCAAGGAATATATATATACATATATATGTATATATATATTTCCATTTCCCACAGTTTGTTTCAATGAACATCATTTTATATCATCATATGCCCATAGCTATTGAGCCTTTGTGATTCTCTTCTATTACAGCAAATGAGGGAAACCATGCAAGCTGTGTTTCCTTGGGTATTAGCCAGCAATTTCAAGGGAGTATATTTTAAAGAATTGTTTAGATGGCGAGTACTTTATGAACAGGTGCTTTCATAGAATGTTTTACCCTTGAGATATTTTCAGAAGTTGGTTTTGACATAGCTATAAGATTTTAACCTGAAACCATTTTTTTCTTTTTTTTTCTTTCTCTTTTGCCAGTCCTGGGCTTGAACTCAGGGCCTGGGCACTGTCCCTGAGCTTCTTTTTGCTCAAGGCTAGCAGTCTACCACTTGAGTCACACAGTGCTACTTCCAGCTTTTTTTTTGTTTATGTGGTACTGAGGAATCGAACCCAGGTCTTCATGCATGCTAGGCAAGCACTCTACCACAAAGCTACATTCCCAGCCCTGAAACCATTCCTTTACATAGTGAAAATTGTTACTCATCTCAATTTTGTTTAGGAAGATTCTTGCCTCTGAAGACAATGCTGGGACCAAGATATGATAGTCAGGTTGCTGAGGAAAATCGCTTCCATCCCAGTATGCTCTCAAACTATCTGAAGAGTCTAAAGGTAAGAAGTAAAACTTTGCTTGTAATTTGTGTTCTATCATTTGAGACTACTCCCCACTCCCTTGATAGGGCTGTGACTTGAACCCTTATATATGCCAAGTAAGTGTTCTGCCACTGAGCTAAAACCCTGTCCTTGCTTTTTTTCAGTCGGTTATGAGGCTTGCATTCAGAGCGTGGGAGCTGTTCATGAGTTTTTTTTCCATTCAAGGCTAACACTCTACCACTTTGAGTGACAACTCTACTCCTGGTTTTCTGGTGGTTAATTAGAGATCAAAGTCTGATGGATTTTCCTGCCTGGGCTGGCTCTGAAGTGTGATCCTCAGATCTCAGCCTCCTGAGTAGCTAGGATTATTGGTATGAGCTACCTGTGCCCTGCTGTAGGCCTTGCTTTTCTGAGGCAGGGTTTTGCTGTGTAGCCCAAACTAGCTTGAACTCATGATCTTTTCTGCCTCTGTTCTCTTGAATGCTGGGATTAGAGGCATGTACCTACCTGTCTTAATTAAAGGTTTTTATGTGAGCATAATATTTCTTCTTTTGGGATAAATTCTCACAAGCATGATTGCTGGGTTATACAGAAAGTACTTGTTTAGGTTTATAAACAACTACCAAACTATTTTCCAGCATGGTATACCATTTTGCATGTCCATTAGGTAGTTTTTATGCTGGCCTCCCAACTTTCTTTGCGTAGCTTTCGACTACTGAGATTATAGTTCTGTGCTACTGCTCCCAGCCATTGGGTGGCTTTGTAAGAGTCAATGAACCTTTGTACATTTTTACATTATTCTGTCAGAATTACTATTTGTATTACTTTTCTAGGGCTTCTTTGAAAAATTATACACACTAAGTGGCTTGAAGCAATAGGTATTTGCTCCTTACAAATTGCTATAAATTTAAAATCAAAGTGTTGGCAAATTTTCTTCCTTCTGGAGGCTTGGAGGGAGAATTTTTCAAAGCCTTCTCCTAGCTTATAATAGTTACCTGTGATCTCTGGTGCGCCTTGGATTGCAGTGCCATTATTTGAGGCAAGTGTTCTCCTATTGAGCTATATCCCTAGACTTTAAAGCTCCATCATTCTAAGCTCTGCCTCCATGGTCGTCTTGTCAAAATTTGTGTGTGTGTGTGTGTGTGTGTGTGTGTGTGAGAGAGAGAGAGAGAGAGAGAGAGAGAGAGAGAGAGAGAGAGAGAGAATTATTTATTTTTGGGCATTTTCAGGGTTTTAGAACTCATTTTCTTGATTTTGCCAGGCAGGCATTCTTTTACTTGAGCCATACTATTAGACTTCTAGTTTCCTTCTTATAAGGATTTGATTAGAACCCAACCTAATCTAAATTATTTCTGAAAAGAACCCTTATTCTATTTTCAAATAAGGTCACATTTACAGGTACTTGGAGTTAGGATTTGAACAAACATCGTTTTGAGACAGCATTTACTGTATAACCCAGGTTGTTTTGGAACTCCTGATCTTCCTGCCTTAGCCTCCCAGGTACTAGAATAATAGGTGTGCCATCATGCCGACCAAACACATCTTTTCTTTTTATTGTTGATTGAGGGGCTTGAACTCAGGGCCTGGGTTCTGTCCCTTAGTTTTTGTGCTCAGGGCTAGTAAGTGCTCTACGACTTTGAGCCACAGCTCCACTTACGGTTTTCTGGTGGTTGATTGGAAATAATTTTCATAGATTTTCCTGTCCAGGTTGGCTTTGAACTGTGATCTTCAGATCTCAGCCACTTGAGTAATTAGGATTACAGGCATGAGCCACCAGTGCCCAGCCAAACACATCTTTTTATAAGAAATAGTTAAGCCACAACATCAAGATTCATTGGTATTTTATGCAGTTGTCAGCCTTACAGCTGTATATTTATTATATTTAGTACAGTGAATATTAGAGTCTACTATGTGCAACGTTCCTATAGGTGGGTAAAGAGCTACTTAGATTTTTGAGAACCAGTTATTCATTATTTTTATTGAGGTATATATATATTTTTGGCCAGTCCTAGTGCTTGAACTCAGGGCCTGGGCACTGTCCCTGATTTTCTTTTTGCTCAAGGCTAGCACTCTACCACTTGAGTCGCAGTGCTACTTCTAGCTTTTTCTGTTTATATACTGAGGAATCAAACCCAGGGCTATATGTATGATAGTCAAACATTCTACCACTAATGCAAGATTCCAAGTCTTTTTTATATTTTTTAGTTGTAGCTAATTTATGAACTTATCTGTAATCACATTGAAAGATTAGCTATATTTCCTAGGGAGTGTGCAAAAGTTAGGTACTTGGGTTTCAATTCCAGTTCACAGGATTAATGCTACATGTAAAATATATAGAACAGTTACTGTCACAGAGTAAGGGCTTTAACAAATTGTAGTTCTTACTATGTGCAGAAGATAGTTATTTTCCTTATGTATGAGTTGGGATTATCTATTATGAAAAATACACACACACACACACACATATATATATATATATGGTGCATATGTGTGTACAGATTCACAGTCACATGAATATATTATCTACATAAATTACCACATGCACATTTATACATGCAGATACATGGGGCATGTGGAAGCTAAGTTATACTATATAGTTTCAGTTTCCTTGCCACAAATCCTATGTTAGTCAGGCATCAGTGGCTCATGCCTGTAATCCTAGCTATTCAGGAGGTTGAGATCTGAGGATCATGGTTCAAAGACAGGCCGGGCAGGAAAGTCTGCAATAAAACCACCAGAAAACCAGAAGTGGCTCTGTGGCTCAAGTGGTAGAGCACTCACATTGAGCTAAAGAGCTGAGGAACAGCACCTAGGCCCAGAGTTCAAGTTCCACGACCACCACCAAATAAAACTCCCATGTTAGAAACTCACATTTTCCTGCTTATCACTACTTTTTATTACTTTTCTTTTCTTTTTTTTTGCTTCTTGTTTTGAGCCTAGAAACCAAAACTTGAACTTTAATACTAGCCTATTGTATTAGGTTTTTTTTTCTCATTCTAATGACTCTTCCTTCTTCCTGCCTCCTCTCCCCCAACCCCCCTTTCCTGCTTCTCCTCCTACTTTGGTATAAGTTTATCTAGATCCTTGTTTTTAGCAAAATAAAATCTTCAAATAAGTGAATAGAGCAAATGCTACCTGGGATGATGTGTATCACTAGTGCCAACCACTTGGGATAACTTGTATATAGGATGCTTGGTCCAATCTTGAACAACATGATCCTGTTAAAGAAAAAAGAAACTGATAGAGCTCATTCTAAGAACTGGAAATATACACTTTAGGATTATGCTTTTTTTTTTTTGGCTGGTATTGGTATTTGAACTCAGATCCTCACACTTGCTTGGGCAGTCATTCTATTGCTGAGTCATGCCATCAGTTCCATTTCTTACTAGTTACTTTTGGGATAGAGTCTTGATTCCTAATGGATGTGTATCTGAACTATTACTGTCTGCCTATTTGAACCTTTCTGCTGTTGCTAATAGGCATGGGCCATTGTATTCAGCTTCCTTCTTTTGAGATGGAGTCTCAGAGATCTCTTCCTGGACTAGCCTGGTACTGTGACCCTCCTATTCTTGCCTTCCTTATAGCTTTTGATGACAACCAAGTACCACTATGCCCAGCTGTGTATTGAGAAAGAGTAGTCATGATCTTTTTCCTCCTGAGCTGGCCTTGATCCATGATCCTTCTGTTCTTAGCCTCACAGGTAGCTTCACAGGGTTGCAGATATGTGAGCCAAATTGCTTGGCTGAATTTTTGTTGTGTGTGTAATTTAAATGTTTTTGCTGTTTCCTCCCTGTAAACAATGGAGTTTAATCATTGTGTAGATCAGTCTTCTTTAGAGAAGTCAATGGTAAGTATTCTGTCAAAGCAACAACAAAAAAATAATGATTTGATTTAAGTGGTGTAGGTTAATCCTTTTGTCATTCTTTCCAGAGAGTATGTGTCTGAGAATGTTGTTAGGGCTATATGAATTAGCTTTTCATTATTTGGACTTAGTCCAGCTGTGCATGTTTTTTTTTTTTTTTTTTGGTCCAGTTGTGGGGCCTGAACTCTGGGCCTGGGCGCTGTCCCTCAGCTCTTCAGCTCAAGTTAGCACTCTACCACTTGAGCCACAGCGCCACTTCCGGCTTTTTTTCTTTTTGCTTATGTGGTGCTGAGGAATCGAACCCAGGGCCTCATGCATGCAAGGCAAGTGCTCTACCACTGAGCCACCTTCCCAGCCCCTTTTTAAATAATTTTTATACCATGTGGCTGCTCAACATAAGCCCAAATATAGTGCTCAATGAAGAAATGATTTTTGTTTCAACTCAGGAACAAAAACTGGCTCTAATTGATTTATTGAAGATGAGATTAAGTCTGTAAGGAGATATACCACTATGGCTATGTATTCTGTTCTGTGTTAGTTGGCTCAAGGATTATGAGAATTTTGATTCTTTTTTTAGGTCTACCACTTTAGGATGAATTCTTATAAGAAATGTCTTTATTTTTCCTCTTTTGGGGGGGAGCATTTTTCTATAATCTGTCACCTCTGGGTCTCTTTATCTTTTTTTCTTTTCCATATGTCTTTTCTCAGTTCCTTTTGGCAGATTTTTGACATTTTTAAATGACTGTAGATTTTGTGTGCTTCCTGTTTTCACTGAAAATGAGATTAAAAAAATTTTTTTTTAGACCATTACTTTGTTTTATCTATCTGGGAAGAGAAGGGAAAAACTGCCTAAGAATCATTTTTAACCTTGCTACAGTGTACTTTCAGAAAATAGAAGGGTTATTAATCAGATAGAGAGAGGATTACACACATGTATTTATAGCCTAAATGGCTTGTGTCCTGTTTTAACGGTATGTTACTGTGAGGGGTAGTCAGTAGACATGTGATGGAGGTGATTGTGTAGAATGCTGGGGAGATATGTGGCTGAAGCTGGAACTATGGTGTTTCATATGGATGCCGCCCTCCAGCCTCCTGCCTTATATCATGGCTGAGGAGACAGATGTACACCAAACAGTGCCATTGTTTTCTTTTTTGAGTTGACTTTTGTGCTGTTGAGAGTGACTTCTGTTTTGCGTAAGTTTCTGTTTCTTCATTACCACAGGTGTTATTTTATTGAGTGTCTTTAAGTAAGACTTGGGTGAGTAGAACTTCACTGAAATTGGTTGGTGTCAGGGTAAACATAAAATCTTCCTTAGTGTAGATGGGAGATTATGGTATTGCCTTTTAGTCAGCTTGTTTTAGAACAAATTCGGTTACTAGTAAATCTGTCCTTTTTTTTATTTTAAGGTTAAAATGAGCTTGTTGGTGGATTTGACAAATACTTCAAGGTTCTATGACAGAAATGACATTGAAAAAGAAGGTATCAAATATATCAAACTTCAGTGTAAAGGGTAAGTTATGGATTAAGAATTCTTAAATGAAAACCTTTCACTGAAATTTATATTCTCCTCTTTAAAATATTTTTTCCATGTTATTAGACATGGGGAATGTCCTACAACTGAGAATACCGACACCTTCATTCGTCTGTGTGAACGGTTTAATGATAGAAACCCACCTGAACTTATTGGTATGTTTGTCTTTACTATTGTTGACAACTTTGTTTCACATTTGGGCTTATGTTCTCCTTTTGCAAGTGAGTTGATAGTTGCCCATGCTGACCTCATGGTCCTCCTGCCTCCTCTTCCTAAGTGTACCATACACCATGTTTTTTTCCCTCTTTAAATAGTCACCAAATAGTGTTTATTAAAGGAAGAGACTAACTTTTGTGTGTAGCTTGTTATAAGTCTTTATTGCTTCTCTCTAAGCATGCTGTTTAGGAAAACTCATAAAAACTACATTTTAAAGTAATAATTTTACTTGTTTTTCTTTGTGCAGTTGTATTCTTTGGAGAATTGAGAGAGAAAAACTTCTAATTAACTGTTTTATGTGTTAATAAGAACCCAGTATAATATAGATTGAAGTAGAAACATTTGCTTTGACCTGCCAAGTTTTGGACTACAGGTGTTAGCAATTATTTATTGTATTAATAATCTGAAGCTAATAATAACAATTGGCTTTAGAACCTGTTGTTGAAAATATCCTTTTTTGGGGGGGAGGGGCAGTTGTGGGACTTGAACTCAGTGCTTGGTCACTGTTCCTGAGCTTTTTTTTTTTTTGGGTCCGGTTGTGGGGCCTGAACTCTGGGCCTGGGCTGGCCGCTGTCCCTCAGCTCTTCAGCTCAAGGCTAGCACTCTACCACTTGAGCCACAGCGTCACTTCCGGCTTTTATTTTTCTTTCTGCTTATGTGGTGCTGAGGAATTGAACCTAGAGCCTCATGCATGCAAGGCAAGCGCTCTACCACTGAGCCACCTTCTTAGCCCCAATGTTCTTGAGCTTTTTTGCTCAAGGCTACCCTGTATCACTTTGAGCCACAGTGCCACTTCCGGTTTTCTGGTGGAAGTAAGTGTCTCATGGACTTTCCTGCCTGGGCTGGCTTAGAATCCTGATCCTCAGATCTCATCTTCCTGAGTAGCTGGGATTACAAGCATGAGTCACCGGTGCCCTTTTAAGCAAAAGACACTGAAAAATCATGTTTAAGGCCTTCAAGGATTTAGAAATTGGTCAGCTTTTATATTTAAATTACTTTTTTAGTTTCAGAAAATAATTTTCATCAGTCTTGCCTACCTTCTTGTGGAAGTATACTTGTTGACCAATAATATACATTTCTGATTTATTATTAAAGATGTCCTGGGTTTAAAAAATCATTGAGCTGGGCTCTGGTGGTTCACACCTATAATCCTAGCAACTCAGGAGGCTGAGATCTGAGGATCACGGTTCATAGCCAGCCTGAGCAGGAAAGTCTGTGAGACTCTTATCTCCAATAAATCACTAGAAAACCAGAAGTGGTGCTGAGGCTCAAGTGGTAGAGCATTCGCCTTGAGCTGAAGAGCTGAGGGACAGTGCCCATGCCCAGAGTTCAAGCCCCATGACCGACCAAAAAAAAAAAAAAAATCACTGAAAAATAACCAGTCTAATTGCTAATTCATTAATGCCAGTTGACTTCAGTTTTCAGTTGATAATTGATGGTTGGTATGTGTGTGGGCTAATTCTGTAGGCTTAGGAATTTAAAGTTCTTGAAACACAGATACTTGAAGCCTTCTGTAAGGAAGGAAGAACTTTACATTCACATTCCCTTTATTTGACCCTTGGTACCAGATGTTTGTAATTGTTAGCTGTCCTGGAGAAGTACCCCTTAATTTTTAAGTTACGGAAGTACTCAAAGCATATGAATTAGTAAGAATAGTAAAATAAAACCCTGCATTAACAAGATTTAGTAATGATTGTTTTGTTCATTTTTTTCATCTTTTCACTCATAAATGTTTCTGAGTATTAATTATTTTGTGTGTGTCTGCTGGAATCAGGGTGCTGTCACTGAGCTGTTTGCTCAAGGCTAGCACATTCTACCACTTGAGCCACAGCTCCACTTCTGACTTTTGGTGATTAATTGGAGGTAAGAGTTGCACAGACATTTCTGCTTTGAATAGTGATCCTCTGAATAGCTAGGATTACAGGTATGGGCCATCAATGCCTAGCTGGTTTTGAGTATTTTAAAGGAAACTGTAGATACCATGACATATAAATACCTCTGTATGCATTACTAGTTGATAAGGGCTTTCAGTTTTTATAATCAATGTGCTGCTTGTTATTAAACCAAACAATAGATTTTGAACTCCTTACTGTCCTAAAATCTAGTCCGTTTTTTCATTTCCTCAGTCATCAAGGCCTAGACACTGTCCCTAAGATTTTTTTTTTGAGGCTAGTGCTCTGCCACTTGAGCCACAGCTTTACTTATCGCTTTTGGGTGATAAGAGTCTCATGGACTTTCCTGTCTGGGCTGGCTACGAATTATGATCCTCAGCTCTCAGCCTCCCAAGTAGCTAGGTTTACAGGCATGAGCCACTGGTGCTTGATGGCAATAGCTTTTTAAAGTAAGTTTTGAAACCATTCAAATATGTTTATGTAGTTTTTTTTTTTTTAGGTTACACCTTTAGTCTCTCTGATTTTTTCTCTTTTAATGCCACAAATTTGTTGGAGAAATCATATCATTGTCCTGTAAAATATTTTGCATTCTAGATTCATCTCACTGTTTTCTCATGGTTTCAATTACATGTTAAGTATCTTTTATCTAAAATACTTGGGACAGAGTGTTGTAGATTTTTTTTTTTAATGGGGATATTGCATATTCATAATAAGATACCTTTCAACTGGGAACTAAGCCTAAATGTGAAATTTGTTTGTTTCATATAAGTAATTTTATACAGTAATTAAAAAATTTGTACATGAAACAAAGTCTCATTTCACTATGGTATCACCTCTACATTAAAAAAATTGGAAGCATTTTAGACTTGGAATTTTTTTTTTTTGGGGGGGGGGTCTGGTCATGGGGCCTGAACTCAGGGCCTGGGCGCTGTCCCTCAGCAATTCAGCTCAAGGCTAGCGCTCTACCACTTGAGCTACAGCGCCACTTCCGGGTTTTTCCTTTTTTGCTTATGTGGTGCTGAGGAATCGAACCCAGGGCCCCAGGCGTGCAAGGCAAACGCTCTACCACTGAGCCACCTTCCCAGCCCTAGACTTGGAATTTTTGCTCTGTTTGTAACTTGTTTCTTTCTCTACTGTATGTCTTATAAATTAAAGGTGAATCTAGAAACATAATTAGGTTCATTCTTAGGATTTTAGATAAGAATACTTCATATTGGTACTCTCTACTTCTTTTCAATACTATATCAGGAAGCACATAATATCTGATTATTGGACTTCTTGTGGTACTAAGTATAAGTGAGTTCAAGTGGTGACAGCAGGTTATAAAGTTTTCCATCTATCTTTTATCTAATGATTTTAGTCTCTTTTCTCTCACAGTGGTAACTGACAAAATGGCAATTTCTTGGATTCTTTTATTCATGTATTAGCTGGGATTTTTCTTGGCCAAAAACTACTCTTTTTTAGTAGTTTGGTTATCCAGAAATATAGTTTGTACTGGAAAAAACAAATTATTTAACTCTTTGTTTTGATTTCTTAAATTTCAAAATAATGAACTGACCTTTTTGCAACCTCCAATGGTAGTTGATTAATTGCATTTTTGGAGTGTCTATGAACTCATTAACATTTTTCCCCTCTCTCCTTCCCTCCCTTCCTTCCTGGTATTAGAAAGGTGATATAAAGGGCTGGGAATGTGGCCTAGTGGTAGAGTGCCTCCCTAGTGTGCATGAATCCCTGGGTTCGATTCCTCAGTACCACATACACAGAAAAAGCTGGAAGTGGCTCTGTGGCTCAAGTGGTAGAGTGCTAGCCCTAGCTAAAGAAGCTCAGGGACAGTGCCCAGGCCCTGAATTCAAGCCCCATGACTAGCAAAAAAGAAAAAAAAAAGATATTGTACAGGTGTGGTTACATAAGTCAGGTAATGTAATGAGTACATTTCTTTTTGGACAATGTCACCCCTTCCCTAGCTCTTGCTTAGTTTTTCCCTTCTCACCCACCCACAAGTTGTATGGTTTATTTTCAACTTAGTGTCTAGTGAGTACCACATTTGTTCACTCTTTTGTCCCTCTATTTCTGTTGCCCCTTACTTTCCCAACGACAGATAAATGAACAAACAAGACAAAAAGAAGACAAAGCAAAGTCAACAACAAAGGAAAGAAACCTTTCACTTCTATTTCCTGGGGTTCATTTTGATAAATATTACTTTGTATGACCAGAGGCACATAGGCATTGTGCTTTTTGTGTTTCTCCCTTAAGGTCTCCTTGTGCCTAGGGTCCTGTATAATTTTATCATATCCCAGGGTATTTTAGATCTAGCTTCCACATATGAGAGGAAAAACATGCCCTGTTTTTGTCTCTGCTTGGCTTACCTCACTTAACATTCATTTCCCTGCAGATGGCATAAGATTGTTCTTTCTAATGACTGTAAAATTCCAATGTGTATAGGAATCACATAAATTTTTTATATAATTGATGGATTTAAATCAGCTACAGTTTTATCAAACACATTTATTTTAGTGTCCAGATTGCTTTATCTTAAACCAATGGGAGCGCTTTCAGGTTTTCTTTTGGGAGGGTATCTTTTTATATCACTCTTACCAGTGTTTCCTGGTTTCTAGAAAAACTTGTTTTCTAACTCAGGGCTTAGGTGCTGACCTTGAGTTTCACTGTTCTCAAGGCTAGTGCTCTTCCACTTCAGCCAGAGCACCACTTCTGGCTTTTTTCTGAGTAGTTTATTGGAGTTAAGAGTCATACAGACTCTTTAAAGCCAAGCCCAGGCTGGCTTTGAACTATGACCCTCAGATCTCAGCCTCCTGAGTAGCTAGGATTGCAGACGTGAGCTACCAGCACCCCACACTTTTTTTTCAACATTAAAAATTTTTATTGTACATCTGAATAATAAATGATACAAGGCATACATGGCTAGTTGAACTTATTTTAACTTAAAGGAATGAGCAGAAGACCTAAAGAGACTCATAGTATATAAACATAGTATATGACATAGAAAGTAATGTCTTTATACAGTGAACTGTTAGAAATATTAAGGTTAT